GATCACAGAGACATAAAGATTTTTATGGGAGTCGGAAATAGCCTCCATGCAGGCACTGCTGTGGAAGCACTGCACCACCACCGACCTCTGCGCCCAGACAAGGGCACGCTGCAGTTTGCACCAAGCGCTGTGCAGGCTTTACTCCTCCGGGTGTTTTGATCACATCCCATTTCCATTCCCTGGTTCTAGTTTGCTCAAGTTATTTCCTATCACCAAGGGCTGTGATTGCCCATGATCACATGCACAGAATGTGCAGGCTGAGTGGAGAATACTGGATACATCCTTTGTTCCACCTGCCCACACCTGCAGCTCAGCTGTTCAGGATGATGGGGATATCATAGTCTGGATGATATTCCTTCATCAGGAACTATAGTGACAGGGCAAGGGGGAATAACTTCAAACTGAAAGAGGGAAGTTTTAGGTGAGATGTTAGGAAGAAATTCTTCCCTGTGAGGGTGGTGAGGCCCTCCCTGGCACAGGTAGCCCAGAGAAGCTGTGGAAGACACATCCTTGGAAGTGTCCAAGGCTGGGCTGGATTGGGCTTGGAACAACCTGGTCCCATGGAAGTTTTCCCCTCTAGAAGATCTTTAATGTCCCTTCCATCCCAAACTATATGAAGATCCTATGATTCTATGTCCAACACATCAATTTGTGGCTGTTTATTGTCATTATATCAGCTGCCATTAGGCCTGAAACTTTCTCAAATCATTCTTCTATCCTTGCAGTTTCCATAGAAATACATTTTAAATTTAGAAAAAGTCAACTGTCCTTTGAAAATCACTGAAAACTCTGCAGAGAGACAGTGGCGAGCATCCTACCCAACTTCCCCTGGTCAAACAGTGGGGCAGTTTTGCAGGATCCAATGATTCTCCATGTTTGCACAAGGAATAACCTTACAAACCCACCTGCAAGGGTTTGAGCAGAGAGCAGAGCGAGGAATGAAGGCTTTGAGAGCCAAAACTCTAATAACCTGAAATTAGCCTTGTTCTAGGTTTACAGGAACCACTTCCTAAACCATGAGGACTGTGTCCAACTCACAGCCAGAACTGGATCCAGCTGTAGGGAACAGGAGATGTTTAGGGAAATTTGTCCCTCCCTCTGGACATCCACCCCAATGCAGGACCAGTGGTGAGAAAAACTTGAAACAGTCCTAAGAGGGAAGCACTTTTCCAACCTGAATCCTCACCTGGGAAAGCACTGTTGTTTAGGAATGGGATTTAGTCTTACAGCATCAACAGGACCTAAGCAGATGCTTGAATGAATCCCTACATCTAAATCACCACAGAGACTGCTCTGCAAATTCCTAAACATTTTCCACTGGAATAATCAGAAGATCACACATTTTCTAAATATTGCATAAGTTGGCTAGTTGCTTGAATTTAAAATTTTGGGGCAAGGATCTGTGTCATTATCAACAAAATCTGAAATTATTATAGAACGTTTTTCACACTCTTTCTTATTCACTGATTTCCTATTTAATAAACATAAAGAACATTAACTGGTGTTTGTTTTCAGCCAAATGTTGAAGCACTGAGGTTTTCTTACAGAAGAAAAATCAAGTCACAACTGTTTATGTTGGATGGGACTTACAATGGGACACTGTGATGTTCTCAGATCAGGACATCCAGCTGAAGCTGCTGGACTTTGGCACACTGGTGTGATCCCAGAACACAGTGCTGCATTTTGATTACCCCCATCAGATTTTTCCACAGTAAAATTGGGATTTTCATGTGGAAAATTCCTTTTTCTTCAAATAAAAGACCCCAAACAGACAGAAATCTGCTTTACACATCATGCACTAGGCAGAAGAGTCAGTACATGACCAAAGAACACCCACCACAAGCATTCTGCATTTTGGCTATAAAAAATACATCTGTATGAGCAGCAGTCTTCGGTGTTTATACCTGTTTTCCCTAGTGCTGCTTAATATGTTTAGGAGCACTTTCTGCCATGGTGTTTGGCCAAAATCCCAGCAGAACAACCACAACTGCTCCACTTACACAGTCAAGAAGCAAAGGTGCCATCAGATGGGAGATGAAGATGACTGAGGTCTGCCAAAAACTGACCAGGCAATATGACCAAAAGGCAGGGAGTAAACCAGCTCTGCCTCCCAATCAAAAAGGGTGAGCAGAGGCTGTTACACCCTCTGAACTCCAGCAGTGGAGGAGGCTGCAGCTACTTCATGCTCCAAAGCTCAGCTTCTTGAAGCCACCCAGCACACAGAGGCAACATGTTAATCATATTATATTATATATTTATATATATATATATACATATGTATATCCAAGAATGACCTGGTAACTGTAAAAAAATACCTACATTATGATACTTTACTATTGCTTTTGTTGGACTCACTCTGCAGTTACAAAGTGGTTGCTAAGGAAAACTAATCTCTTGGTTTTGCCACGAGCAATTTAACTCAGGTTACCAACATGATGGTTACTCAAGGCCAAGGTTAACACTGGCACCCAACCAATCCATCTCTCAGTTGTGGTTCCCCAATAATGAATGATCTGCCTCATATTACATATCCACAAGCATGGGGAACAAATGGCACCAGCAACCCAACTGTGCTGCAGGAAGGAAAACCCCAGGAGCAGATACCTAGTGTGGGTTGCAGTTCCTTTCATCTGAATTCTGGTTTTTCTAAAAAGGCAGAGCTGGCTCACCTCTTGCTCCATGGGGAAGGTTTGTGGATAAGTACCTTTGCCACCCATGGGTTTTGTGTACACCTTGCTTTTCTCACCCCTCAGATTTGGTTTTCTTATGGCTGCTTAAAAAAAATCTGGAGCAAGAGTCCACTGACAACCTTGGAAACACTTTTTAGGCAGCAGGATTTAATCCATGGTACATGGGGGGATCTCCTTGCTATGGGACAGCGTTCAGTGCTCTCTGCCATTTGATCCACCCATCTCTGATACACAGAAGACACAAACTGTGGTTATTTACAACACTAGAAATTATGAGGCAGATCATGGGCTGCTTGCTCCTCATCTGAGGCACACAGAAAACACAAGAAAAAGCTCCTTAGTGTTCACATCTGTCCCACTGCTGCATGTTAAAAACAGTCAGGAAACCATATTAAATATTGTGTTGTTTTCTCAGAGTAGGAGAAAGAGAAAAACAATTACAAGGAATTTGCAACATTTAAACCATATCTAAAACAAGGTAAGAAATAGCAGGAGAATCTGCCTTTTCCATTATTTCCCAGCATGTTCAGCCTAGGGATTCCCACCTGCTCCCACTGGGGAAATCACCATGACTTTCCAGTCATGAGTCCAGCACAAAGAGACAGGTGAGTATAGAAATTCCAGTGCCAGTGGTGGTCACCAGGGAACTGGTTTAGACTGGTGAGAAACAGAACTAAATCTGTGGTCCCTTGTCAGCCCAGACAAAGAAATGGGGTTTTTTTTTCAGGTTTTTCTTCCATGCTGCTCAGGGACATAGGAATAAGAGCAATATTTGCATTTTATTGCCTATCCTGGGTTACAAAAGCACAGCTAAGGACTTCAAAATGCTTTTTAAAATTGCAGCCTGCATAGTGCCGGGAAAAGGCCACTCTCCCTTGCCTCTTCCTGCTTTCCTCATGCTGGGAGGTGCTACCACTTGTTGGGATAGTGATACTTACCCATAACAATTCAGCAAGGCTGGATCCCAATGGGAAACAATGGGTAAACGCTGGTGATGGGTCATCTTCACTGTTTTCCCTGGAAGGAACAACAACTATCCATAGCTCTGCAGATGAACCTTAGCCAGCTCCAGACCAACCTTCTTGGCCCTTAAAAACAAAGCAAGGCTCATTAGTCTAAATTAAAGCCATCAACCAGACATTTAGGATTCTGATCATTAAGAGGTGCTAATGGCAGCCTGCAGCCATCCTCCACCCAAACCTCTTTCATATCCTACCTTGATGCTGGTGTGAATGATGGCTCCACACTCTCATCTGTCTTTGCCACCTGTGACAACACTTTCACAAGCACGATCAAAAGTTCTGTGCAAATCAGTTCTGGACTGTTCTGTTTCAAGTCTGAAAAAAAAAATCAAAACAAAAGGGATCTTCAATATTAAAATAACAGGGTTTTTTTGCTACAGCTGAGGCAGCTTCTGGCCATTGCTGCTTTCTGTGATGTCACAGAGATGTCCCATCCTCTGAGCAAGCAGAGAGCACCTACCCCAAAGCCACCCCACAACCATGAGAATGCACCAAAGCTGTGGTCCTCCATTTCAGGTTAAAATTACAGATTTAACTGTATCATAATTTACCACACTTGATTCTTCAGCATCCAATCTTTTCCTTATTTTCAACATCCCCACATTTTTCATTTTCTTTCCCCATCACATATTCATTGGATGCTGTACAAACAAGTGTAGATTTAAAGTGTCCCTGTAACATTTTACTTATTCCGTGACTTAATAATAAAAAGAGCACTGAATAGAAAGGCTAGAGTTCAATTTCTGGGCTCTATTGCCACTTGCAAGCTGCACTCTCCCACAGCTCCTCGCTTGAAATACAGCCACCCATTCAGCTTTATGCTGCCTCTGGAGCAATAAAACTGCACTTTGCTGGAGGAATTTTAAATCGTTCTACACCAATGCAGAGATCTTTAAAAAAGAAATCTAAAAATGTAAAAAGTGAGGGTCAAAGCAAAACTTCTGGATTTTACCAAGGGTGTAAATTTTCCAAGAATATTTTCCTTTGCTTTCAGAAGTGAAAGGGGATTTTTTTCTTCCAATGGGGATTTTTATTTAAAAAGGCCCCAGTAATATGAAACTTGAAGGATAAGAATTAAAGAAAAAAAAAAATCTACCTTATGTGAAAATCTCCATCATATTGATGCATTTAGCAATTTAGATTGCAGGACCCTATAACCCAGACTCTGCTCCTGGGGTTGGGTCCATGTGGGATGTATGGGCAGCTCTTGAGAGCATTAATGTGGCTGATGTGCAGCAGGATGTGACCCCCTGCTCCAAGCCAAAGGGAACAACATCAGGTCTGTGCATCTCGCCAGGTACAGGAGGTTCATTATTTGAAAAGTGTCACAGTGCAGTGAGCAGGGCAGAGAGGAGACATTCCCATATCCTGTTGCCTGTGGCTTGGCACTTCTCTGCCAGGTGCTTGTTTTTCTCCATGTTTTCTTTGTCTGCCTTGGATTGAGTGTCCCTGGAGGAGAGCTCACTTCTGCGCAGTGCAAAGCGCCACAGAGGCCTGGCTGCACCTGGCTTTCTGGGAGGGAAATTAAGCAATTGCAAATTGTTACTCTTATTTTTTGGCAATTTCAACTCCAAAGCTGTTTTTCTTCAAAGCTAAAGGTCAATGATTAATTGAAAACTTGTATTTTCCCCAAAATTATGGACTAGGGAAATAATACAGAGGCAGCGAGCCCAACTCCACTCTCCTTTATACCTTTATAAAGTTGAAATAGCTCATTGTTTGCACCAATTGGTTTGCACCAATTCTCTGCCTTCTGATTTCTCCTGGCCTGTTCCAGAGCTGTTCTGGGGGCTACAGATGCAGCAGTGACTTTCTATGGATCCTCCCATGACCCATGCATGCATGCACTGCCCTCCCACTTGGACCAGCTGAGCTGGACAGCAGCACTCACTGGAAGCATCTTATCTGAGGTTCAAAAGTCCTTTCAGTGCAGGGGTTGATGATGTACATGGTGACAGATGGTGTGATTCTTAGGAATGTCCTGTGTAGGGCCAGGATTTGAGCTTGATGATCCTTGTGGGCACCTTCCAAATCAGGATATTCTGTGATTCCATGTATGAGATGATGTGCTGATTCAAACCTGGATGAAGGTGTTGAACCTGTGAGAGATTGCGAAAAATTTTAGCAGAGTACAGATTTTACAATCCATTATGGACATTGCTGTGTTTTTATTATTAATGTGTCTTGAAAAATAAGATGTTTAGCTAAGCTTACTAATTCCTTGAAACTCAAATCATTTAAGCTGTCTAACCTTGTTCAGGATAATTATTTCTATCCATTATCCATCATGTTAAAAATGACAGGTCTGGGACAAGGAAGCTTTTCAAGCAAATGTTTTAAGACAGTGTTTTAGGTTGCAGGCACTAGCAAATGTTAATTAAATTAGATAAACAATGACTCAGAGTAGCTGTGCAACACTAAAAAGAAAGATGGGAGGTAATGGGGGAAGGAATTTGGCAGCTCAAAGGTCAAAGCAGCATTTTTGGAACCAAGAATCTGTCCCTCAAGTAAGTACCTTGCCTGAATTCAACAGGATGGAAGGAACTGGTGTCTTTTTACTTTTACAGCTCCAGACAGAATTTATGTGGGCTTGCTGAGTGTAGTTCTGCCAGGGCATGTGGTCCACAGTATCTGTGCAAGGCATCCTCCAGGCCTGTCTGCCAGTCTTGGTGACATGATCATATTGTCCCCCAAAAGCATCCTTTCCCCTGGGTTTGGTCAGTCCTGAAACTGTGGGTGCAGGCTCAGCAATGGATTGTCACCTTTGGTAGAAGTCTACTGCACTGAATCAATTCCTTGCAAGAGTAAGGTTCAAAAGTGACCTCCAGGTCTGGGAATCTCCTGATAATTCCTGTGACATGGCCATCCTTAATCTGTACAGGAAGATAGCTAAATATTACTAATACTTAATACATCAATCTTGTATGACACTTCTTGAAGTGTGCAGTAACATTTTGAAAATCAAAGCACCAAAAAGATTTTCTCCTGAGGACTTGTTGCACTAAAGATCCCAAATCAAATACCTGGGTTTGAGCTTACCCTAAGAGGCTGGAAATGAGATCCTGATTTTTGCTGAGAAAGTGAGTGGCTTGCTAATGTGAGGGGTTCCTGGTGTCCTACACTGACCCAACACACAGGTCCTGCAGGGTGGTGGGGCTTATCCTTTGTAGGAGTTTTGGAGAAGATTCGTTCCACTGCTGCACCTGTGGAGTTTGAATAGGGAGACAGAATTCCAGGAGTGCAGCAGGGGTGCATCTGTATTGGGCCAGGATGAAGGGAAAAGGGAAGAAAGTCACACAGCATTTTTGAAAAAATTAGTGCTGAAGGACTATATGGCACACTTATAAGTGTTAAATCTTTTACATCTTTTAGTCCACAAGGGACTAAAAGATATAAAACTTGTTCCTGAGGCCTTTTGCCCCCAGCTGGACCAGGAGGCAATGGTTCCTTTGCTCTGCTGGCTCAGTCATCATCACCTGCCTGTGAAGGGAAACCTGTCTGGTGGCCACAGAGAAAGACCAACACTGACTCCTGCAGTGACCGGGAAGCAAAGGCTTCGGGAATGAGTTAAAAAATAAAGCAGATAGCTACAGCTCTCCCAAATGAAACCAGAAACTGCTCTAAACTATTCTAATCCCTGCACATCTCAGGTCATGCTCCTCCAAGCGTTCAGCTGACTTGCCTTTCTTCCTGGAAGCAGCAGTGCTGCAGTCCCCCATCATGCACATCCCCAAGGACCCGTGGTGCCCTCACCCTCAGCATCCCTGTGAATTCAGCCAAGTGTTGGGTTTTATACCACAGAGATACCGATCTGTCCAAACTTTCTTCACCTGCTCTGATCATTTCAGCTCCTTGGGGACACACACCTCCATGCCACTGCCCAACTAATTAGTTGCTTCACTGGCTGCATTTTACAATTCTTCAGTGATGGGTCCCCATCTGACATCTTATGACAACTGATTAGTAAAGTAGGCCACGAGTTTAAGAAATATGTAATTTGGGCACCACTTGCTATTAACTGTTTGCATGCTCTTGTTTGTTTGCTTGTTTTTAAGAAATTGTTATCCTTCAATGCAAATATCAAGGGAGGAGAAGTTTGTGACCTGGGAATTTTACAAAACAAGATGCAGTGAATCTTAAGATCATTTCAATAACAAGCCCTGCAGAGGCAATAAGGGAATATATATCCTTACTGCAACACTATATATTATAAAAGTCTAGATACCAAGGCAAGATCAAAAATTGCTGTCTGTCCTGTAGTCTTGGGCCAGAACACGATGCAGCTAATTAATTAACTAGAATTAAGTCAAAACATCCTGCCTTCACCCCAAGTTCCCCCTGCCAACAATGCAGAAAAGAAACAATAAATAAAATTGAAGGTTTAAGTGTGCTGAACACTCCTCTCCAGGTTAAAAGGATGTCAGCAAGCTACAGCACCACAGCAGTTAAATGTCGTTGAAGATTTGACTGCCTTTGGTCTGGGATTTGCTCTCGCTTGAGAGCTGGTCAAACCAATCTTTCCAAAACACTGACTTCTGAACTTTTGCCAGAGGTGCCTCTCTCCGGTGACCAGGCAAACGACATGTTAAACCTGTCAGTTCAGAATAAGCAGAAAAGTGTGCACCCACCATGGGGAGGGCATTTAAAGGCACAGGGCTTCCTTTGCTGGGTGAGGTGGAGGCCTTGCTTATGTACCTGGAGGCTTAGGAACATTTGGGGAGAGCGGTGGGACCCCATTACCTGTAGGCTTTTTCCATCCCAGTTGGGTGGAGAGAGCTATCCCAATTTTAAAATCGATCTTTCCTAAAAGGCAGAGCCCTGCTCTTGCAGGATGATGCACAAACTGATTTCAGGAAAGCCCATAAGATAAAGGGTGGGAAAGAATTAAAACCAAGCTGCTACCAAAAAGAAATGAGAGGCAAAAACTGTACAAGTTTTTTGTTCACAAATAGGCCACTCCTAGCTAAGGATCTCAAGTGATTTCTGGTCTAAGCCACTCTTGACATGTTCAGACTACCTAATTTAGAGGGAACTGCAACTACTGGTAACACAGGTTGTAATCACATTATTGCAGTGGTTAGTCCAGAATTTATAAGACACAAGCAGTCAACAGAGCCACTTTAGATCTTAGTTTTAGCACTATGGTTTAGAGGCAGAATCACAGACAACTTGTGCTCCCCATGAACCAGTGTTTGGTTCCCAGTGGAATACAGCAAAGGAGTCTTTCTTTGCTCCTTTGAACAAACACTTCCAAAGAAGTTCCCTCTATTATACATTAGTAAACAAATGTCTGTATGAATTTCTGGTGTCAGATCAGGATAGATGGACTGCTCTAGCTAGGAAGTTGAACATTTGTTTTTTTGTGACTTGTGGTCCAGCCTAGCACAAACTGGACTCATACCAGTCCTGCAGCTGAAATGGTCCTGCTGCCACCAGCCTGAGGTCACATCCCATCCATGGAGAAGATAATCCACTCCCATCCATCCATCCTCTATATTTACACAAAGTCACTTAGATTGGCATTGCCATCTCACCTGCATGAAGCAACATGGATCCAGAGCAAAGTCTGAGCTTGTGTCTTCACCTTGGAGCATAAAATCATCCAAGATGTATCTCCAGCTCTTTCAATATTTATATACAGCTGGGGGTAAGTGGCCTCAGTGCTGGCAAGGCACAGAAAACAAACATCTCTATTTTTCACCATACTCAATCATGCCAGTACCAGGATGAGGTTCCAATGCTGAGTCAAGATATCCTGCAAGGTTCACCACAGGTAGGAGAAGGTGAACTCAAGTAGACATGAGATATCTATGCAGAGGAGAGAATTTGGAGTAGGTGGCCAAAGCACGCATTCACGTTTGAGCTTTTATTAAAAAAAAAAAAATAATCCACAAGTACATTCAGCTCTCTCATAGCAGCAATTATCACTTCCAACCATCCCCAGTTGGCTGGGAGACTGCATCCCATCCTGGCAGATACTGACCTGGCCTTAGTTTTTCACACCTTGGTCACTTGGCTGTATTACAGCAAACCGATATACCTGGGCATGAAGCCTGCAACACTTAGGAAACTCCAAACAGTACAAAATGTTACAGAAAACCTCTTCAGTGACATTCTCTGCCACAAATACATCACAGCTATCCTCAACTGTCTACAATAGCTTCACAATTTTAATTTGGAGACATGTTCAAGTTTTTAAACATTTTCTTTCTGATGCTCCTTAGCCTGAAGTTAGGATATATGAAAAACTATGTGAAACTCTTGGATAAAAACTGTGGACAAGAAACATGCTTCTTTGTTGCAGTGGAAACCTTTGTAGAATGTGTAAAGCCTGTCTAAGTGGGAGACTGAACTTTTGCATGAGCATGGTATGAACTTGCTTAATCATAGATGATTGTGTATGCTGTAAACAGGAGTCATCCCCCTCTCTCAGCCAAGAACACTTGTAATTGCTTGATGAATATGTAGTGTAAAAATAAAGAAGTCAGAAAAGCTCTGGAGGAAGGCACCGAGCTCTCCTCCAGCATGGATTCTGTTGCAGGTATTCCTCTTATTGGTGTTCCTGGCTCACACAGACCCTCCCCTCATTCAAAACAGATACAAGTAAGCAAATAAATGAGTTGCAGGCTGCTGAGACAGTCAGCAAGATGCCATCAAAGGGAATTCCCAAATGATCTGTTTCTGCATCTCTCATTTGTAACCAGAATCTACAGTAAGTCAATTTTTAGTTATTTGAGATGAATAACACCTAGACTGCTACAGTTGTTTAAACCCATTAGGGGTGGTTACATCTCATCACATTCAGATCTCTCTCCTCCCAGATCTAAAGAGTTTGAGCAAAAATCAAACAATTTTGTGTGTAAATGTCAGGAAAACTACGGATATTAGCAAGTTGTAGGTGACTCATAAAAAACACCCCTGTGTTTACATTTGAGTTCTTGATTTGTCCAAATAATGCCAATAAAAAAGAGAAGCCTTCACGTTAGATTTCCAAGACCTAGCTGATACAAAGAGATGAATACTTCTTTCCTAGTTTGGCAGACTCTTAAAGAGAAAATGCCATTTTTTAGAGAAAGTTGCTTTTCCTCAGTGGTAAATGTATCTTTGGTCAGAGTTTTGGCAAACAACTCCAGCTACTTTTTGTCCAATGTAAGCCTTTTACGTCATGCCCTAGAAGAAACAACAGCTGTTAATTATTTATCAGCTGATGAGCACTGGCCTGTTAATTGCAAAACATTATAAAATAGATTAGGCAGAAAAGCTCAATATGTATGCAAGCAGGGGATTTTGCTCTGCTTTGTATGTGATTTGATTAAATAAGCCATTTTATGACTCTGCTTAGTTTACAGGAAACACCTTCACCAGTGACTTGATATCAGAAACTCTAACTGGCCCACAATTTTCAGGTAAGCTTACTAAAAATTAGAAGGTTTTTCAGACTTCTAGCTCTTTGTGCCCCTATCACAACTCTAATACATATGGAAGATGAGATCCCTCCAATCTCCAGCATATGTTGCTTTGACTCAAAATGATTAGACTTCTTTCAGAAGGGGAAGTGCTAATGAGCAAGGAGAAGACCACAGGATCCAGTCTTCTGCATGCTAAGTCTTAGTCTCAACATGAAATTCTTGTCATTCAATACTATTTAGTGTTACATCAGAAGACCACTGTGCACAGGTTTCACTGCATTACAGGTCCCATTGGCTTTTGGGTTTTTTTTATCTGCTGAAAAGGAAACCTTAATCGACTTTGTACCAGTGGAATAAAAGTTTCCAATTTTCCTACCACATCCCTTGTGCCAATGGAGTGTTTCATCCTATTAAATTTCAGTACAATGTACAACAGTGTCTTTCATATACAAATGGCTATACCAGGGCAAGGAGAAAATATAAACAAAAGGGTTTTTGTGAGGCTGTGCCAGGTGATGGACCTCTGGGCAGGATTCCCATGCCACTGTTCAGTGCAGGCACTTGGATATGTGTGAGCATGAGTTGTCTTACATTAGCATTGAAACAATCTGCTCCAGGTGGCATCACTGTTCCATACCCATCACTTGGCCCCATCCTCTTGGTGGCCTTCAAACATCACAGATGTGGGGGATGACAAGAAGATTCTTGGTTTTTTCAGTCTGATCTCTGATGCAGTCTCCTTCCCTTTTTAAGAAGGAAGGAGACTTTCTGTGACAAACATCCCAAGATGCCAG